CAATAAATCGATTACTTTGAAGAAGTCTGGTTATGGAGAAATACCAGTTTTAATACTTATTTACCTGAAATAAAATAATATACAAGTTTAAAGAAAATAATAGCTAGTATTTCTATACATTTTAAATGATTAAATTAACTACCTAATCAAGAACGCACCAAATTAAAAATCTCTATAACAGGTGAAATATAAACAACAAATTTATATCAAAATAAAATCGATAATTTATAATATAATTAATTTTGCCAACCACAAAAATATTCATGAAGATATAAATATAGATTACATTAGCAAATTAACTATGATTAATTACCTGTTTTTTTGTCATACCCATAAAATTAAAATATCTTTCGAATTTATAATAAAATATATTTAAAATTGAAAAGTTTCCTTCGATATAATATTTTTAAAAAATCAATTTTATGTAAAAAATATATATTAATTGGGATTTTAAATGCATAAAATTTAATATCTCACCAAACACCTTTAAAAAAAAAGTAATAATATTTCATTTAATTCTAAATTGATATAATTTTTTTTTAAGTCTGAAAACTCGCTGAATATGGATTGAATCGGGGGGAAAGTTTTCCGTCGTTGAGTTATTTTAATATCAGACTTGGAAGTTGCTGAGCTCCTCCTGTGAAAGAAGTTGTGCCTAACGAGCCGTAACCACGGCGTCTCTAATTAGATAGCAGCTTCCCGCCCATTCTAGGGAAGCAGACGATGCTTCTCTCTTTCTTCGTCTGTTTCACCACGCCACCTCGCCATTTATTCTCAATTACCTATAATATAAGAAGTGTTTGGAAACTAAGTATTTGAAAATTATCTATCGAATTTCCTTTTTTTTTTACAATGGTATTAAAATATTCATAGAACCATTTCTACAATATTAAAACTGTGAATATTTGTTCTTAAATAGAAAATTCTATATATTTATAAACTTTTTTTTATAAATAAAATCATATAAAAAGAATATAGCTGGATTTTAAAAAAATAACTTTTTTTTCTCAAAAAAAAATATAAATAAAGGGATTGCTTTATTTATCAATTTATTGCACACAAAAAAGCTTAAAAGTAATTTACCAATTCTTGTATATTTTTTCTTTTGACGTACTTACTTTTATTATGCTTATTATATTTGTTATGCATATATAGTAAACTTACATTATGATATGATTGCATATTCAACTATATTTATTTAAATACATTTATCAACAGGGTTAATTAATTAATTTGCTGTTTTATTATAATTCACATTTCAATTAGCACCAGAAATCTCAGAAGATTTTCTGCCACCACGAGATTACAGCTTTCCATATAACCTAACGCCAGACTTGGATTCACCTCAACGACAAGTTCGTCTCTCCCGTCAAATAAGACGCCATGTATTAACCGTCGCCGCAAACTAGCGACCTCGAGTAGGTGACAAAGTCACAACACCAGCTTTGGTCAAACTGAGAAGCGCCAAATTTTCAAGCTAATGGCTCTCGTCAGTCCAGAGCGGGCTTTATTAAATGAGAACCACAAGGTGTTGGAAAAGAAGGAGTTCGAAGCAGCCAATGGGAGGCCGACGGAAGCGGCAACGGGGAGGCAGCGGCTAAAATGAGAAAACAAATACAGAAGAACCTGTAAACAACTTTCGAACGCTATAATTTGCCCTTATCCCCGATTCTTTTAGTGTTAATATTTAAATATATAATTAACTAAATAATACTTTACTAATTTTCTTAATTTATGAAAAATATAATTTCCCTCCTGTTTTCGTCGTATATTTTAAAGTGTTATAAACAGCGACGCCTTAATTTTGAACCTTCAACCCCGCCGACCAAGAATAGAGGTGATCGACTACCTCTATAGAACTTAGATCGTCCTCACAACACAGAGTGGCGGTGAAAACGCAATAACAAGGATCAAATGAAGTATTTACAATCTGTCAAAGATATGCTTAACTGGCAAAGTGACTAAACCAATTAAATGTACAAAATATAGATGGAAATTTTGTCGGGAGGATATTGATTTTTAAATATTTTAACGGAAAAAAGAGGCGACTTTTATTTTCTATAGATCAATAACTTTTCGAGAAAATTTCCATAAATATATATATACATATTAACAGTTGCATATATTATTTACTTAAGTTTATCTTTTAGAAAGAGAGATATTTGGAATACTTGTAGAATTCAACTACCTAGAATTCGATTACTTAGCACATAGCGAAGATGAAATGGAAATTTCCTTATTGAGAGAACCCAAGAATTGCTTTAATATTCCAAAATTTTAATTAATGTGAGAGAGGGTAATTTCTTTCTTGAACGCCTGGAATATTTGCTCCAGTAATATTCTTCTCTTAAATTCTAGGTATACTATCCACCTTGGAATGTATAAAATAATAAAAACAATTCTATCATAACATAGGAAACAGTAATTCTTTAGTTTTGAAAAATAACCATAAACTTTATTGATTGAAAGTCACTTTAAGGAATTCTAATACCTAATGAATACAAACCTTTTAAGAATAGAATTGCTCTTGTTATCAGATATTGTTGGGACGCTTCGTGATTAAAGATGATATAACTAGAAGAAATTGTGTGTGCCTGTAAACATATAAATAAGTATATTATGATGCATTAGCGCGCCATCTGTTATGAAAATTCGAAACTTATAGACGTGTATGATTCTTTTAAAAATTAAACAATTTCTACTGCCCTTACTTTTATTATTAATGCAGTAAGGGCAGTAGAATTATTTTATTTTTAAAAGAATCATACGTGTCTATAATAGTTTTGAATTTTCATATAAATAAGTAGAAATCCTCGTTTTACCATTTTTCGAATTCCAGTGGCACAGAATATTTTGAATACAGAGGATGTTCCATTTTTGAAAGAATGTTTTTCAACGCTGCGCGAAAGAAGCGCGCGAATCGAGTATAGTTTATTTATTCTAAAGAACAACCAGTGATTTATATTTCATGAAAAAAAACGGTTTTTGAATATTCAAAATGCCTAAGATTATAAATGATTCTGTAAAGGAGTTACGTTACAGACTTCCCGATGCGAAATATATTCGCTTACCTAAATTAATACAATTTTTATGAAAGAAAAAAGAATATTGCTATTACACTAAAGTGTAGAATCAGTCAAATATATAAAGTCAAAAGAAAACAATTTTGATATTTATGAAATTATTAAAAGTAATTCCTCTTGATAAACGTGACTGAAGAAACCTTTAATACAACCGAAAGAAAAGATAAAGGAAATGGGTTGTCAGAGAAAATCCACCTTCTCAAAGGAACATAGTCCACAGTAACCAACGTACCAAATTCCTACTGTTAGCTGTATATTAGGAAAATAAATTGGCTTAAAAATACGCGAAAAGGCGAAAGTTCATGTTCACAAGCCGCACTATATTCAGGGAACAAAGACCTGCAGCAGGGCCCTTTATGAAAAGTAGACAGATGAAAAACGGAAGACTGTTGTTACACTGGACGAGGGCATGGGTTTACCTCAATGATAGTAACCAACCCCGTGCCATTTACTACGCTAATTTCCAAATAAATACCTTTCTGAACTTTATCAAGCAACGCAAGGAGTGTTTCTCAAGAGCTTCATGATCTATGCAAGTTTCTGCTACAATGGGAAGCTTCCTATAAAGAAGGTGAATCCAAATGTCAAGATAAATTCTTAAAACTACCAAAGACTTAGACCCAGTATTCGACAATGAGGTTCCACCAAGTGACTCAGGATCCGTGTGGCTACACCAGGATAAAGCCACGAGTCATATCTCATATTCAACCACGTCAATACCTGGACACAAGATGGATGAAACCGTCATTTCGTATATCTTTTTCAAGCAAAACCCTGCAGATGCCCAGACCTGGCTCCTATTGATTTGGGGAATTTGGCTTTCTGAAAAAAAATACTCCTGTTGAAGGACTGACAAATCCGAAAGCTAGAAAACCGAAGACACACTAGATGGTCTCTGGAAGGTCGTAAAGGAATGTTGCGATGGTCTTGATCAAAACATTATAAGTTCAAGCCTTATTTTCTGGAAACATCTATGAAGGGCTGTTGCGAACGTCACACTTACACAGAGAAAACAAAAATTTCACAAATCTTTGTAAATCATTTTTAATGAAGCACTAAAATCGTTCTTTTAAAAATGAAACAACCTCTGTATATAAAACAGCTTTCTCCCTATCTTCTTGAACCTTGATGCTTTAAAATGCTATATTCTTTAAGAGTATGAATCAGTTTTAAAATGTATTTTTAACTTTTTACTACGTATATTATCGATGAGGTTTGGTATAGGAGTGTCGTAAACTCCTAATTTGGACTGCCTCGACTCGGGGTTCGAATTCTGAATTGAACACTTTCTCAGAAGAAAGAAAATTGCTTCAATGGTCCCCGATTCTTTCAAAATTACAACCCCATCAGTGAATTCATGTAACCAAACGGGTCCTTGGAACACTTTTAAATACAAAGTCAAACTGCTTTTTACATTTACAGGACATATGGCACACTTACAGTAAATCTGTCGCTAATTGCCTACCATGATTATCATTGCTTGTACCATTTATACTCATTTAATTACCTATTGCCATGATACCACTCATGATATGCCTACCATGATTATTATTGCTTGTACCACTTATACTTGTAATAATAAAAATATTATCGATGATTTAGTTTAGAATAACTTATTGATTGAACAAATCATTTTAAAATCATTATTGTGTTTCATAGCAATTAATTTTATTGACGAACACACAATTCCATTTAATTATTCTCCATTCAAAGAGGTAACTTTAAAATATAATTATTTAGATATATTTATATTACTAAATTCGAACTTTGAATCTTGTAAACTCAAATCTCTCAATTAAACTTCAATAAATGATTTATTCAGATATTAAAATATACAAGTATCATAGTCTCAATCATTTCTGTCATCGTTTGCTTTTGTGAATGGAATAAATACCCAAATATGGCCATTTCTTATAAGCATCGGTGGTTCAGAAGGTAGAATGCTCGCCACGCGGGCGGCCCGGGTTCGATTCCCGGCCGATGCTTTTTTATTTTTTACAATTTTTAAAACTCTTATTTATATTATTAAAATACGAGAATATAGTTTTTTTTGTATCATTTTGTTTCGAAGAACAAACAGGGTCTTCTTGTCTTCCCATAAGGATCAAGTCAAGAGTTATCTCGGAGTATTTGGCATTAATGGAGATTAACGTGATACTCCCTGTTGAAGAACTGACAAGTTCGAAAGCTTGAAAATAAAAATTTGCACAAGAAACTTAACCCTTTAACATTTATTTATTTTATAATATTATAAATCAGAGAAGAATATATGATATATTTTTAAAGATGTTTCTTACACACAAAAAAATCTATTTTCTCTCAATAGCATAAGTATTTAAAATATGTAAATAAAAATTTGCATAAAATAGTATTTATCATTATAATTTATTAACGTGGTACTTCTGTTGAAGGACTGACAAGTCCTTGAAAATGAAAAGGTTGTAACAAGAAACTTAGCCCTAGAAGATTTATTTATTATATAATATTATAAATCAGGGAAGAATGTTAATTATTAATGAAGATTATATTATTTTGAAAATAGAGCAATCCATAAATAAATCTTTAAATAAAATTGGATCAAAATATCATTTATTTTACCAATATTTCAGTTGGCTGAATGCCAACCTTTATCAAGGTTGTTGACTCACTTTTAAATGTTATAATACCTTGATAAAGGTTGGCGTTCAGCCAACTGAAATATTGGTTAAATAAATGATATCTTGATCCAATATATGTCATTTTATTTAAAGATTATATTATGTACAGTAACCCTTCTCTTTCACAATTGGGCACTTTATTTGTTTTAGCAGAATGAACGGATAGCAATGGTTCTCATTTAAGATTAAGAAAGACTTTCATGTATTTGCATTTACAATATACACTAACCATACTGCTTTGATTTTTTACTGAAATTAAAATATCCCCTGCTTGGTATAAACAAATACTATCATTCCGTAATCATGAAGAATATTTTTTATAATACATTAGCGCCACATTTGTTATTTTGCTTATCCCTAATACACGTGGTACAGCCATAATAATCATGGTTGGTAGAAGTAGGCGACTGCTTTTACTGTAAAGTGTACCACATGTCTACATATGTGAAAAGCAGTTCGAATTTGCACTTAAAAATGTGCCAGAGCCCCGTTTGGTTACTTTCGCTCGCTGGCGGGGTTGGACTTTTGCAAGAGGTGGTGGCAATTGGAGCAATTTTTTTTTTTTAATCAGAAAAAAAGTGCCTAATAAGGGAATTCGAACCTGGGTCGTAGCGGTCGAAAACCAACGGTTTAGACCATCTGACCCCCTCTATCTGTTGTTATAAATGGAAACTATTGTTAACGCGTATATATAATTATTCTTTAAATAAATTAATTTTCTCCTACCATTACTGAAATTATAAATTAATGGTAAGGCTTCGTTCATCAGTGAACTCTCCCAGAAATATTACAGCGGTATAGTAGATTGAACTGGCGAAACCGCTGTAAGGGTTCACCACTGATGACCAGGTCCTTCCAATAATTTATCATTTTAGTAAGGGCAGTAGAAAATTGTTTAATTTTGAGAAGAATCATACGCATCTAAAATATTATTTTTATTTCGGGGGAATTCTCTCAATATTTAAATAACTTATTTATTTATTTTTAAAATGAAAATATATTAGTAAGAAGATATTTACCTAATATGACAACATGGAATTCATATCTCTAATATATATACAAAAACGAGTTATTTTCCGAATGACAAACTCAGACTAGATTTTTAACGCTAAAATGTGACAAATATTTTGTCTCTCTCTATATTTTGTCCTTGTCCAGATTTAGTCTTTTTTCAAATATTAATTTTAAATGTATGATGGAATCCTGATATTCCGAAAAGTCGTTTAAAGTGGTGTGTGATTTATATTTAAAAGAAAACAAAATAGTGTAAATAGTAAAATCAAAACTTATTTGAAATTTTACCAAGGATCAAAAGACATTGTCCAGGGCAAGCGTTGCTTCAAAAATATTGTTGTGTCATATTGTTTGTTTATCGGTGGAGAACAAATATCTTGAATATTCTAATTGCCTTTAAATAAAATAAATAAATGTTTATATATTTTAAAATTCAATAGATTATATTCAGCTAAGAAGCTAAAAAAGATATGGAAAAATAACCATTAGGAGTCAAGGAATAGTTGACTGTACAAAAACAATGATGCCATTTTCGAACCACCATTTTGGAACCTTTGAAATTCGAGAACCTTGAAAACGTCCACCAGTAGAATGTTCTGACTTAACAAGATATAAAATATTTTCCAAGAAAAATAAACGAAATTATATTAAAAATAAAAAATATAAATTAATATTTTTCATATTTATTTAATATCTTGATCATAGAGCTACCAAAGTTACATCAAAATTACAACGAATTTATATTCCCTTATTTCAACTTCTCTAGAACATTATATTTAATTTTTAGCTCCTTAATCAGAAATATTGTAAAATAAAACAGATGGGTTTCGAAAAAAAATTTAGGATATTTTAAAATATTAAAATAAATGATATTCTTAAATAGGTTACTAATTTGTGTGGTTATTTGAAATATCTTATGTATTTGTTACCCTATTATTAGGAACTCTATTATTTTGAATTAATGACATGACAAAAAACACGTAAATTTGATTTTATATTTTATTTATCTTTTTTGTTAAATGGGATAAATATTAACCATAAACCTTTGCCTTAAAATAGCATCAAATTTAATTTCAGTGATCCCCCTTTATGAGAACTTGCAGACACTGTAAAAGCCTTAATATAAATTGATATATAGATAAAATATATTCACAATCCTAAGCAAGCTATATATCCTACCTAATATATTTACAAGTTATATACTTGTAGAAATAAAATTACTAATTTACAATTAATATTTCGCTATGCAATAATATAAAATAATATAGTCTTAAAGAGACAAGGGTCACCTCTCCCGTCAAAATAGACGTCTAAAACCAGTCGCCATCTATTGACCGTCGCCGCAACTAGCGGCCTCGGGTCGGTGACAAAGCCACAACACCAGCTTATCAGTTTGCCAAAGCTGATGTTGTGGCTTTTCACCGACCCGAGGCCGCTAGTTGCGGTGACGGTCAATAGATGGCGTCTGGTTTTAGAAGTCTATTTTGACGGGAGAGGCGACCCTTGTCTCTTTAGATCAATTTCCTCCCGGCAAAATATCCCTCAATATAGTCTTAGTTTAATTAAAATATTTTAGCACTTCTTTTATTCATAATTCTAATAAATTCCCATAAATATCTGTGAGATATTAAATTTAATAGATTAAGCTTGTTTTAAAATATTCACATAAGCGCTCTGCGCTCCAGGAACCTGGGTTATAAATATATCTCTATTCACATAATCAGACAGTTTCATGTAAAAAAAAAAGTTATGTGAGAAATGAACTGAGTTTCACATTGGCACAAATGGTGCTTATGATTGAGACAAAAATGAATTTATGTAAAACGAGTTCATATACGTGTTCATATTACCACGTTTGAAAATTAGGAAATACAAACTTCAGGATGAAATAGCGATTTATTTAAGGCAAGCACAAACTATGAATGGAAAAAAAAAGATAAGCAAAGATGGAAGTTTACAGAGTAGAAAAATATTGTAGCGTATCAGTTTATTTTTCTACAAAACACGTGTAGAAATCAAGTCTTTGTATATCTGGAGATGTAAAGTATTTATTGATAACGTCACCACGACCAGTCGACAATTATTAACTAATTAACCCCCACTATCTACAGCTAGGAAATCTTGGGCAAGCAAGCAAAGAAATATTTTAAAGATGATTTTACAAATACAGAGCAATATATATTTTTATAATCTGTTGAATATTTTCATTGAATACAATTAAATTCAATTAAATAATATTTTTTTTCTTCGCCACAATATAAACAACAAATAAAATAATAAATACTTTGCTACGTAGCTCCTTCCCTATAGAGCTGTGACTCACAGCTTGAAAATATTGTAGATACTGAAATGGATCTGACGTGCTTCTGCCAAGGATTCCATCGAAGTCTTGGTACTTTGTCCCTAGTACCTTTGCGTCCTTTTTCTTGCGGCGTGAAGAGCGGCTTTGTCGTCGTATTGCCTATAGGGACATCGTCATCTTAGAGGGAAGTCTTGGCTTTGACACGACGGTGGAATCCTGGAGTCAGTCTCTGAAAATGTAGATCACAGCACCCATAGCTTCTAGGTCTTTTCGGCGATTTTCAGTTTGTCTTCCCTAATTTACCCAGCATCTCCACCAAAAAGCCACGTGGAAAATTAAGGAAGACAAATTTCAGGATGACACAGCGATTAATTTAAGGCAAGAACAAACTATGAATGATAAACAAAAGATAAGCAATAAGGGAAGTTTACAGATTAGCAAAATATAAACAACAAAAGTGATTATTCTGTTAATAAAATAATAAATAATTTGCTACAATATAAAGACTCTTTCTTATTTAATTATTATATATCAATTTAAGAGTGTGATAAAATTGTTATTGAAACAATCTCGTATTTGCGTCATTTGAGCAGAAATTGAAACATATTTCCTATTGTCAAGCTTCACTTTGGAAATTATTTGGTCCTCATTTGAATAATGTACCGTCTGCTTCAATACTGACTGCCGCCATATTGTTTGCAAATTTAATTATAGAATTTAGCTTCTGATTTTCTCTTCTCGATACATATTACAGGCATTATATACTCTGTGCTTTCATACATAATGTACACAAATAGAGTTTATAAATTGAAATTAAATATGTATGAAAAATAAAAATATAAAAAGGTCAGATTTTGATATCTATATATATAAATGAGTGTTTGTATGTTTGTTTGTATGTCCGGTATACAAATTCGCAGTAGTTCACTAATTCAAATCAGAATTTCCATACATAGGTAAAAATATACGGGGGAAGACGATAGGCTATTTTAAAAATATATATAAATCAATT